AACGCTATGAGGCTCCAGTTTTTTGGGAAGCTTAGCATTGCTGAACAGCTAGATGAAGGCTACAGGATTGGCATTAGAAGGCACAATTAAGAGGTCACAAAAAATAGACATATCCTGTCTAGAATAATAGACTGTGTGAAATTTTGTGGCACGTTTGAGTTGGCTTTGCGTGGCCATGACGAGTGCGAGACGTCAGACAATCCCGGGATATTCCGTGGCCAGGTCGATTTTGTTGCTTCTCTTGATGGAGTTTTGAAAGAGCACCTCGAGAATGCCACAGTGTTTAAGGGAACTTCGAAAACCGTACAGAACAAGCTGTTGGACTGTATGTTGTCTGTTGTGAGGGAGCACATAATCCAAGAAGCACAGAGCAGCGACTTTCTCTCAGTCCAGGCCGACGAGACCACCGATATTGCCACACAGTGTCAACTTGTGCTTGTACATTGACGCCAAAAGCAACGTACAGGAGAGTTTTTTTGAGTTTATTCCTCTGCATTAAACTACAGCTGATTCCATCGCTACAGCACTAAAAGAGCGTCTTGCTGTCATCCTTCCAGAGGATCAGAAGAATAAACTCATCTCCCAAGCGTATGATGGAGCCAGCGTGATGAGGGGTGCCACTGCAGGTGTTCAAAGGAAGATGCAAGATGTGTACCCAAATGCCCATTACATCCACTGCTATGCACATCAACTCAATCTGATAATGCAACAGGCCACTTCTCACATACCCAAAGTGAGATTTTTTTTTTCTGACCTTGGAGGATTTGCCAGCTTTTTCTCAAGATCACCCAAGCGCACAGATGTCCTTGATAAAGTAGTTGCCCATAGACTACCAACATCAAGCAGTCAGATGGAACTTCCACAGCCGTGAGGATCAGGATTTTCAGGATTTTTTCTGCAACTTTTCCACAACATCATGCCACATGTGGACCTCCTCTATGCCAAACTCCAGAAGAAGAACATAGATTCAGTCCACATCAGGGGGAGCATCCAGCAGTTCCAGCAGGACATAAAGACGACCAGCTAGCAGCTGTATTCCTTGTTTTGCATTTATTATTATTATTTTTATTATTATCATTGATACGTTTTCTTATTCCTTTACAGAAATTATCTCCATTCCCTGGTGGACCAATGCAGTGAAGGTGGTTCTCAACCGAAGAAGCAGCGGTCATTCAGTCCAGAGGTCCATGAACGGATTGCAGCAGAAGTGAGTTTTTATTGCAGTCAAATTAAACCATTACCAAGAAGTTAAACTCCATTGTTTATTTACCTTCTATGGGTACTTGTAAATGTCTTCTCATGTCTTTGATTTTATAAAAAAGCTTGCTTAAGTATTGTAGCAAAGAGTATATCCTTAAGATAAAGAAACATTTAAATAATATAAATTAATATAAATAATAATAATACATTTGCCCATTGATAACTTTACTATGAGAGGATTACTATTCCATGTTTGTGGGATCAATGTGAGGAGCAATAATATTGTAGTCACCAAAAAGACATTTACAATTACCCACAGAAGGTAAATGAAACAATGCAGTGTAATTTGTTGCAAATTAAATGTGTAGATGATACAGTTATACAATGACCATGTCTCTTTTCAAATAAGAGTCTTTAAATGTCTCATTATACAAGCATTACATAAAAAAGTTAATAATAAAAAGTATTTTGGAGGTCAGTTTTGTTGATTATAAGCTGATTATATTGGGCTTTATGAAACTATAATAAATGTATATGCATTTTTTATATACTGCAAGGTTATCTTTTTAACCATTTACACAGTCTTTAAACTGATCTAAAACAATTTGTTATTCTTTGGTTTCCTCTTGTGGACAACATTAGTATTACAGCCTTCATCTCTGAGTTTGATTAAAATAAATGGCTGGTGTTTTAAAAATTGCTGTTAGCACCCTGAACATCAGAAGTTCATGAAGCTTGACATGTTTACTAAGAATGAACATGTTTATGAAGTTTTGAGAAATTATGGATTCAAACACTAAAACACTGGTCTCCCTTTATAACTTAAATTGGTCATTTTAAATGTAGCAGTTGAAATTGACATTGTCATCACTACATCATTTTTGCTTTTATCCTTTACTGCGTAGGTCTGTGATACCATACTCAGACACACATTGGAAAGGTTCTCCTTCACAGACCACCTCATTAGTGCCACCTTGCTGCAAGCAGACAGGTTTGAACAGTACAAAATGATGTTTCCTGAAGATGCACTGAGCAGGACTTTGAAGGGCCAATCCAGTGCTCGACGGGAGTAAGCTGAAGACAGAGCTTAGTCTCATCTACTGCAAGGAAGAGTTCAGAGCCTGTTCTGGTGCTTTGGACCTACTCCAGCTGTTTATGGAGAACAATCTTGAGGAAGTCTGGTAACACTTTCTATGAAGCCCGTATTTCTAATACATTATAAGGGTATTCTTAAGGCATTATAATGAATGCATAATGCATTATAAAAAAACCTTATACTATGTTGTATTATCTCATGAATATTCATAAGAACAGTTTTAATATATTATAATATTTACTTATTTGTGGTTATAGCTTTTAAGAGTATGATGATTTATAACACAATGAACATGTTGCATCCACTTTTACAATGGATTATATTTCTCATAGTTATAATGTATTATAAGTCTCATATCTTGCCATTTTTCTTATGCTACTTTCCTTAAAGCGGTCAAAGACCACTTCAGATATCAGATCAGATGAATGTGTAATATGACACATTTTGCTTTGAACTATTTTTATTGTAATATCAGTTTGATTATTTTGATGGTACCCTTTAGACAGCTGTTGATAAGTAACTCTGCAACTACATATCAACTAGCGGTCATTAGAGTATTAGTATGTCTGCTACTGTAAATATTTGCTAACACTTTATTTTGATGGTCAACCAACAGATAAACTGACTATAAGTGTCTTTGCAAGTACGTCAACTTATTCTACCATACTAGATTCTACCATTCTTGAGCATACTAATACTCTAATGAGAGTTAGTTGGCATGTAGTTGCAAAGTTGCTTATAGTCGATTGATTTAGGGGACCATGAAAATAAAATGTAACCATATAAAACATTGCATTTTTGTCAGTTGGAGTATTAAGCTCATCAATTAATTAACATTAGCTCCACAGGAAACACTCAAATTACACTCAACATCTAACCACTCACAAGCTGTAATAAGATACTGTGCAGATCTTAAATAAACAATGTCAAGATACGATACAGTCCATTATTCTGTAAATAAAAGATACTGTGCAGATCTTAAATAAACAATGCCAAGATATGATACAGTCCATTATTCTGTAAATGAAGTAGATTTAATACGGTGTTCATTGTGTGTTATAAATAATCATACTCTTAAACTTATAACCACAAATACGTAAGTATTATGATGTTTTGGTTCAAAAGAATCAAGAATCAAAAGGGCGAGACTAGAGGGATAAATCCAGGAAAACAGGCAAAGATCAGAAACCAAGAAAACAGACAGGGCAAGACTAGGCTAGGACTGGGAAACTAACGAGGGCTCTGTAAAGTAGCTATCACTGCTGGCGATAAGCGCATACAATACTCGGCCGTTTGATAGGAGTCAGATTAAGTGATATATAGTGAATGTGTGATTGGATACAGCTGTGTGCAATCAGTGCTGTGTGCAATCAGTACAATGGATGATGGGATATGTAGTCCGGGATGATATGCAACAGTTTGTGTAGTGCGAGAGTCAATGTAATGGAAAGGGTGACCTCTGATGGCAAGCAGACGGAAGTTCATGGACCGGATTCGTGACAGTATTATAATTGTTGTTATGATTATTCATGACCTCAGAAGACTACAGAGGGTAGTCCGGACTGCTGAGCGAATCATTGGTACAACCCTCCCTTCTCTCCAAGAACTGTACTCATCCAGAGTGAGCAAAAGGGCTGGCAAAATCACTCTGGACCCCTCACATCCAGCACACTCCCTCTTTGAACTGTTGCCATCTGGTCGACGCTACAGAGCTCTGAGCACCAGAACGACCAGACACAGGAACAGTTTCTTCCCTCAGGCCATCCATCTCATGAACACTTAACAATAACATACAATTGTCAATGTATATATTGTTATTACTTATTTACTTGTTCTATTTTTTATTCTTTTTTTATCTGTGTTTTTGTACTGTCGCTGTCATTCTGTTGCACTGCGGACACTTCTGTCATGAAAACAAATTCCTCGTATTTGAAAACATGCCTGGCAATAAAGCTCATTCTGATTCTGATTCTGATAAATAACACTTTAAAATATAAAGAGTGTTCATGTGATTTTATAAACTAATAGTGTTGTGAAATTAATGAATGCATAATAATCGTGATAACTGTGAAACCGTAGTTATTCCTCAGACTATAATTGTACCAACAAAATCTATAATCATTACATCCCTAGCTTCAGGACGGAACAGACACAGAGCTGAATGTGAGATATTGTTACATAGTGATATAAGGACGGATCTGTCTGGAGAAACAGTAACTTGCTCCTCTAATAATCACCTACAGGAGGACATTTGCTTCACAGGAGCCACGTGTTCCCCATTACATCTCATTTATTAACTCTTGTGATCAAACACATCATTGTGTCATGTTTGGCAGCTTATAAACTGAACAGAAATCACTAAATCACACATTAGTATCTGAACATTCACATCTGTATGACATCTGTGAGAACACAATGAGCTCATGGGATTTCAGAAAATGAAGAAAATAAGAGGAAAATAAACTCTTACACAGAGATGGACAGGTGAAGGAGTATTAATCAAACTAGCAGAAGCAACTGAAGCTCCAGTAAATGTTTGGTGGCCAAAAACAGGAGCAAGAGCTCATGATGTGATGAAGATGAATGAAATGAACTTCATCTTCAGTCATTTGTGCTGAGATTTAGTGTGTCCAGTCAGAATTTACATTAAAGGACACATCTTACTGAAGACAAAGACATGAGACTATCAGAGAGATGATCTTACCACAGTTTCTCCAGTTTACAGTGAGGATCCTCCAGTCCAGCACAGAGACGCTTCACTCCTGAATCTCCTAGTTGATTCCCAGACAGACTCAGTTCTCTCAGGTGTGAGGGGTTTGATCTCAGAGCTGAAGCCAGAGCAGCACAACCTTCATCTATGACGCTACACTTACTCAACCTGTAGAGAACAATGACAGAATGTGAATTGTAGTTGAAGTGTCTGTAGTTTGTTATTGACTCTGGTCTCAGAGCAGGAGAGGAGATATAATGACAAGCATTGCCGCATTCTTCTGCTGATAGAATGAGATTTATGCATGTTGATGCTCAATGGTGCTGTTTGAAACTGTCATGTGCTTCAGGACTGAACAGACACACAGAGCTGAATGTGAGATATTGTTTCATAGTGATATAAGGACGGATCTGTCTGGAGAAACAGTCACTTACAGCTGTAATAAACACCTACAGGAGGACATTTGCTTCACAGGAGTCACGTGTTCCCCATTACATATCATTTATTAATTCTTCTGATAAAACACATCATTGTATCATGTTTGGCAGCTTATAAACTGAACGGAAATCACTAAATCACACATTAGTATCTGAACATTCAGGTTGAATCTTTATGACATCTGAGAACACAATGAGCTCATGGGATTTCAGAAAAAGTGGAAAATAAGAGGAAAAAACTTACACAGAGATGGGCAGGTGAAGGAGTATCAAAGGGGTCATATGATGCAATTAAAATTTTTACTTTCTCTTTGGAGTGTTACAAGCTCTTGGTGCATAAAGAAGATCTGTAAAGTTGCAAAGAGTAAAGTATCAAATCCAAAGAGATATTCTTTATAAAAGTTAAGAGTCAACCACGCCTACCTAAAACGCCTCGTTCTAACACACCCCCACATATCTACATCACTATGTGGGAAGATTTGCATAACGCCACCCAAATGTTCACACAAAGAAAGAAGGCTTCATTTTTATTCTCGCTGTAGTATTGTTGCCGCCGCCGCCGCCATGTCGTGAAGGCACTGTGTGTTTCGTTGTGAAAGCGAAACTACTTTGTTTGGTCTTCCAAAAGAGGACACAACTAGAAATCAGTGGTTAAGTTGTATTTACAACACTGTTCCAGAACAGTTCAACCCAAATATTTAGATGTGTGCAGCGCATTTTGAGGAGGATGAGGACTGTTTCCTGTGAGAGTAGCCTACAATGCCGGTGTCTGTTTCTATAAAGTGGGGCAGTTTCAACTTTACAAGAACAGTCTGGTGCTTCTGACACACAGTCGGTAAGTAAGTTTTCATATGTAAACAATTTGCCACTGATGATTCAAACGTGAGTTTTGAGCAGTGTAGAGTAACTGTTAGAGCTTGTTGTTTGTCATTTCTCCAATCACAAATGCAGACATGGTTTTATGTTTATGCAGCGCGATACGCAACGCAACGCAACGCAACGCGTAAAAACACAGTATAAGTCATTATAATCAGTAATTATGTCCACACTGGATGCAACAAATGCCTCGTTTATAATGGGTTTTCAGCATCATATGACCCCTTTAATCAGACTAGCAGAAGCAACTGAAGCTCCAGTAAATGAGCAAGAGCTCATGATGTGATGAAGATGAATGAAATGAACTTTATCTTCAGTCATTTGTGCTGAGATTTAGTGTCTAGTCAGAATTTACATTAAAGGACACATCTTACTGAAGACAAAGACATGAGACTATCAGAGAGATGATCTTACTGCAGTATCTCCAGTTTACAGTGAGGATCCTCCAGTACAGCACAGAGACGCTTCACACCCAAATCTCGTAGTTTATTCCCAGACAGACTCAGTTCTCTCAGGTGTGAGGGGTTTGATCGCAGAGCTGAAGCCAGAGCAGCACAACCTTCATCTGTGACGCCACAATATCTCAACCTGTAGAGAACAATGACACACTCTTCACTCTCTCAGATCAGATCAGTTTAGCAGTGAATCCATTAGTAAAGAGAAAGTAATTCAATGTGTGATGCATCATTGAACTGAGATTTAAAATGTAAAAGAACAAAACAAAAACATGATCATAAATAATTTAAAGCCTCATTCAAAAAAAAATGTATTGCACTGTCAGGATTTTTAACCAAATTGTCTGCCTTATGTAGACATTCATTCAAATGTGTTTAATCACACTATTCATTACACAGCTGAACTTTATAGTGCTATTTTGATCTGTATTAATATGTATGGAGTAGTGATGAGTGAGTGAGTGAGTGAGTGTGTGTGTGTGTGTGTGTTTCTCCTCCATCACCCAAGAATAGCAAAACCTGAGATCACCTACACTGTGAGATATTATTTATAGTTTATGTAAATTGTGGCAGATAGTACTTACACCTCAATGTATTGCAGTGCTTTACAAAACAGTACATAATAACATATTCTTTATATGATCCTATTCATTATAAACAGATGCTGCCTTCTAGTGTCCTTACTTGTGTCTATTCCTAAAGCCCCCCTACACCTCCTCCTAATCACACTGAAGCTGCTGATCAGTAAAGCTGTTCTTGAAGCTGCAGGAAGAGACTCACGCTTTTGAGTTTGGGAACAATATAAGCTGCATGTGGTTGATTCACCAGAACATCTGATCAACGTGAGGACACCACATATAATTTTAATTATATACATGTTAGACATTTCATTTCCATGTTTTGAATATTTTCTTATGTTTTCTTTAATATAAACACCTCTCTGAGCTCATATACAATGGAATAAATGAGAAGAAATGCATTTTTGTACTCGGGTTGGTTGTCTCAAAAGCCCACTGTCCTTACTCTCCCACTTATCTGATTGGTTTCTTTAGTAATTTTGTCTGATAACAGTCAAGCTTTTTACATTTTGTCTGACTTATTGTGTTTTCAGACTTTTTTGGGCGATTTGTTTTTCACTTCACAAATATTTTACAGCGTGTCATATTTAATTTTACCACAGTATCTCCAGTTTACAGTCAGGATTTTGTAGTACATCAGAGAGAAGATTCACTGAATCTCCTAGTTTATTTAGAGACAGATTCAGGTGTCTCAGGTGTGAGGGGTTTGATCTCAGAGCTGAAGCCAGAGCAGCACAACCTTCATCTGTGACGCCACAATCACTCAACCTGTAGAGAACAATGACACACTCTTCACTCTCTCAGATCAGATCAGTTTAGCTGTGAATACAAATACAAATCACAAAACACAAATAAATATGTTTGATGGATCATTGGACTGAGATCTAAAATGTCACAGAACAAAAACATGAGCCTGATTTAAGAAATAATTATTTTAATATTATAAAATAATATTACTTTGTTGCACAATGTCAGTAGTTTAAAGGGGTCATGAACTGAGAAACCAAAATGTCAATTCCCTTGATCTTTTGACATAAGAGGACATTGTACTATAAAAACATCCTGTAAGTTTCAGAACTCAAAACTTTGTCGTTAGTCTAAAAACAGCTTATATTGAAGCCAGTCTGACAAAACGACAGCTACGTCAGTAAGAAATATCTTTTCTTCATTTCATTTTACTGCGGATTCATTTACAAACAAGGCACAATTTGACGTGGGATTTTCAAAAAGATTGAAACTAAAAGAAGATGTTGTGTCGACTATATTGAATCCGATGTGGCACCACACAAGTGTGAGTAACTGTTTGTATTACGTGATCACTATTGCTTTGTCTCTTCTTACAGATTGTTTGATATGTATTGAGTTATTTATATGTTTTTGACCTAAATCACAGCAGCGTCCATCTGTGAAGAACGTAGACTGTCAAACACACAACTATTATCCAATCACAGCAGTGTGTGTTTACTTCTGAGTCTACAATCCTCCACATCTATTCAAACAGAGCGTTCTGATGAGGGGGTCAAAAACAGGACAGAAAATAGTTTATTACTTCTAAATTATGATTTTTTTTTTAAATGTAAAATCTAGACAACAATATAAGTGGACCTCAGAGAACAGTACAAAATAAAAAAACAGAGGCAGTTCATGACCCCTTTAAAACTTACAATTACTTAAATTCCTTTTTTGCAAAGACATTTTTAATTATTGACAATAATTTATTCATATGCTACTTCTCTGTCTCTGAATCTAATGGCGTCACTGATTTGATATAAAACACATCAAAATACTGACGACTAAACTCTGGACAACATCTGCAGCACTTCTGTAGCGTCTGGACCAATCAGACACACCATTTTTCATTTGATTTAACAAATCAATTATTCATTAGATTAACAAACGTTCACAGACCCCTCACCCAATAAACATACTGGGTGCCAAGTTGTCTGTGAACAAGGCCCAGGACCCTGGTTACCATGGCAACCCTGACACCAGATACATTTACGACCTAATGGAATGTGAGCAGGGTAAATCACTGCCTTTTCCATAGGAAGAGACACAGTGCACAGTAGAAATGGACTTTTCTACTAATTAATTAATAGGAATACCTTTCTTTGAATGAACACACATATCCTTCAGGTCATGGTATATGTTGTCTTTGATAATTTTAGACTATTTTATGCATGCTTATGATGGAACCCATTCCTGTCATCTTGCCTATATGTAATCCTACCATGTTTAGTATCTATGAATTCGCCTTTTGATGATCTAAACGAGAGTGTATATTATATGTTGGTACATAGGCAATATATTAGTGTCCTGAAAATCTTTAGTAATTTCGATTCAAGTTCCATTTGCAAATTACCATGCCCTCACACAAAGGGTCATAAAAACTCCCCAGTATCTCAAAACTCCCACTTGGGATACCGGCCTTTCTCATTGGACAAGCCCATCTTGAAAGGCAGGGATCTTCTCCGACCTAAAAGGCCTCGCAGCATGTGACCCGCCCGAGTCGGTGGTTCTGTTTTGAGAAGATGTGAGCTACAACGCTCCAGGACATCCTAAGCTCGTGCCAGACTTCGGCCTTGACTTTTCCATTCACAAAGATTCTCTGACTCAAACTGGTTCTTTTTCATCAACCAACTTCAGCAAAGATCAACTTGAACCTTTGGACTGCATCAAGCCTTTCTTTCAGACAGACGAGACGTGCAAGTATTCAAACTTAGTCTTATTAATTGATACATTAGGTATCATTTGCACCTTTTTACAAAGGTGTGTTTGAACTAAGAATCTGATGTTTCCTTCAGGCGGTAGATCTGCTGAATATGCAAATGGTTCCATAACTTCATATTCTTATTTTCTCTCCTCTTTACTGAGTTAAGTTTTAACCCTTTCCTATACCAACTGTATGCGTGTGTATGTGTATGTTAGACCAGTTTAAGTGTTTATGTAGTATGTTAGACTAGTTTAAGTGTTTATGTAGTTAATAAAGTCTTGACGTTGTTCATTGTTTGCTCATAACTGGAGTCACTTAATCATGCAGATTTATGCTACAAGCTCTTTGTAGAATTGTACAGTAAGAAAGTTATTTTCCTTAACCAGGAAATTAATGTTCTTAGAATTGACACAGTTGACCCTGAGAGGTCCCCTAAATATCTACAGCGGATCTAAATATTTATAATTAATTATAACTAGTTATGATTAATTATTCATATTTCCCCATGAGCTGATTCGCTAAACTTCAGATTTATGAGCTTTAACTTTGATTTGCTTCATGTTCTAACAGTGAAGTGATTGTTCTCAGTGATACTTACTGAACTGATCTGGATTCTTTAATCACAGGAAGCAGCTTCTGAAGAACTTCCATATTTTCAGCCTTATTCTTTCCTTTAACAAATTTATCAAGACGAAACTCATTCAGTTCCTCTTCTGATGTCAACAGCACAAAAACTACAGCTGACCACTGAGATGAAGAGAGATTGGCTCCCTTTATTCTTCCAGATTTCAGATACTGTTGTATTTCCTCCACTAGTGAATGATCACCCAGTTCATTCAGACAGTGGAACAGATTGATGGATTTCTCTGGAGAGTCAATGGTCCTGATATTCTTCTTGATGTACTCAACTGTTTCCTCATTGCTGTCAGAGCTGCTTCTTTTCATTGTCATTATTTGTCGTAGGAGAATCTGAGGAGACTTTACTGACAAACCCAGAAGGAACCGCAGGAAAAGATCCAGATGTCCATTTTTACTCTGTAGAGCCTCATCCACAGCTCTCTGATGCAGCTCAGATAATGAAACATGTTCTGATGAATTTAGTTGAAACCAGTCTTTCACTTTAGACAGAAAACTCTGGTCAAACACATTTCTGTTGTGGTTTGTACAGGAGAGGTGCACATATAGAGCTGCTAGATGCTCCTGAATGCTCAGATGAACAAAGCAGAAGACTTTCCCCTGATACAAGCCAAACTCCTCTCTGAAGATCTGAGTGCACAATCCTGAGTACACTGATGCTTCTGTCACATCAATGCCACATCCAGATGAGAGCAGAGGGAAGCAGATTCCCCACAATGAGGTTCATCAGCAGCATGTCCACTGAGGCTGATTCACTTACATTACACAACCTCACAGCGCTCTGAAAATCTATAGACAGACGACACTCATCCAGACCATCAAAGATGAACAACACTTTATATTCATCACTGGATATTTCCATTTCTTTCATTTCAGGGAAAAAGACATGAAGAAGATCTGAAAGACTGAGTGTTTTGTCCTTCATCAGGTTGATTTCTCTGAAAGGAAGTGGAAATATGAGCTGGACGTCCTGATTCTCTTTCCCTTCAGCCCAGTCCAGGATGAACTTCTGCACAGAGACTGTTTTTCCAATGCCAGCGACTCCCTTTGTCAGCACAGTTCTGATGGCTTTGTCTTGTCCAGGTAAAGCTCTAAAGATGTCACTGCATTTGATGGCTGTGTCCTCTGTTGCTGCTCTCCTGGATTGTGTCTCAATCTGTCTCACCTCATGCTCATTACTGATCTCTCCACTCTCACTCTCTGTGATGTAGAGCTCTGTGTAGATCTCAATCAGGAGCGTTGGGTTTCCCTGCGTCGCTGTTCCCTCATACAGACACTCAAACTTCTTCATCAGATTAGATCTAAACCTGTTGAGGACTTCATGCCTATAAAATTAAAATACTGCATTATTAAATAAGCTAAACTAATGTATTCTGTGTCTTAATGAAATAGTCTTTTACAGAAATATTAGACCTAAGATCAGTCTTTGTATCTTCACTCTTATAATCTAATGACTGATTCATGGACTCCTCACTCCTCACAGACACACAGCTGGACTCTGCTTCTGATCTCTTCTGCTGAACTGAACTATAACAGAGAGAGATTCACGTTTGAATGACCATATTTAACAAAGTACATCTTCGTATATTGTTAAAATAAAAGAAAAAATACTTTAAAAATACTTTAAAAGGGCACTTCATGATCACTTCATTTACACTATTTTATTACAAAAGATGTTAAATTGATCTGAGTGCTTTCACAAATTTTTCTTTGAGTCCACGAGACCGTAGGTTGTCCCATTCGTCATTTTAGCTTTCAGAAGGGTGCTCGCAAGTGCCCTCTTTGCGGCCGCTATGCACCATAGATGTGCACTTCTGCTGAGCCCACACTGGGGCAAGCTCCGTGGCAGACATATACCCGACAGTGTGGACTCAGAGGAAGAACACAAGGGTTTAGGGTACCATTTGGGACAGGGCCATATATGTTAAAATATCAGATAAAGATAAAAAAAAATATCCATTAGCAATATACAAACAAATTCCCCATGTATTATAGAAAATACTCTATATACTATTTTGATTATTTAAAATGACATGCTATAATAATATTTATATAAAAATGTACCTGAGATCAGTCTTTGTATCTCCACTCTTAAACTGTATTGGAGGATTCATAGACTCCTCACTCCTCATAGACACACAGCTGGACTCTGCTTCTGATCTCTTCTGCTGAACTGAACTATAACAGAGAGAGATTAAAGTCAATCCTTTGAATTAACATATTTAACAAAGTACATCTTCATATATTATTTAAACAATCACTTTAAAAAACACTTCATGATCATTTAATTTACAGTATTTTATTACAAAGGATGTTGAATTGATCTGAGTGCTTTTACAAATGCATCTCTCTGTGTTACACTATATATGATAAAATACAGTGTTGGGAGTAACACTTTTCAAAAGTAACATATTAGAGTAGTACATTACTTTTTGCAGTAATGCAGTAATATAATGCATCACTAATAACATTTGGATAATATTATTATTACTTGTTACAATAATATATTGTTAGTGGTGAATTTACCAACACCGCTAAACTGCATTCCACGGGTGAAATAGTTAGTCTATTTCCTGTTGCTGTAATTTGACGGTTGAGACGAATTCTACATTTGTGAGATGGACACACTCCCGTTATTTTCAGTTCATCAGAGATGTCACGAATTCAGTCCATGGACTTACGTTTATTCACCACCCTTTCCATTTCATTGACTCTCGCACAACACAAACTGTTGCATAGCACCCCGGACTACATATCCCATCATTCTTTGCACGATTTGCACACTGCACTGATTGCACATAGCTGTTTCTAATCACCTCACTCACTATATAACACCCACTCTAACCACATTTCTCGGCTGAGTATTGTTTAGCCTTTACCCCTTTCCGAGTCTCCATGTTTTCCTTGTTTTGCCTTGCCTTGTCAGTTTTCTCGGTTCTGATCTTTGCCTGTCTCCCTGGATTTATCCCTCTAGTCTCGGCCCTGTGATTCTGTCTGCTTATCGGTGACCTACGCTAGCCCTAGGACTATTCTTGCGTTTTGCCCGCCATATACCTGTCTGCCATTATCTGACCCATGCCTGTTTTATGACCACGTCTCTGTCTTCTCCTAATAAAGAGCTTGCATTTGGATCCGCACGTCTCACGTCTTGTCAGCCCCCTTACAGAATACTCAGCCAAACAAGGATCCAGCAGCTTTTCTGAGGAGCATTGGCCAGGTATGGACACCACAAGGATTTGTTAGCCCTTAAACAGGGTCCACGATCACTGGAGAACTATATCCGAGAGTATTTAGCTATCGCTCACTATTCTGAGTTACCGGACTGTTTATTGATAGAGTTTTTCTGCGATGGCATAAATCAACCTCTGAGGGCTAAGCTTAGACGCGAGGGTCCACGTTCATCACTCGCTCAGTTCATGGATTATGCTTTGTTGACTGTCGGATCTGTATTTACTGTGGGTGTCGCGGAGGAAGAACGCAACACAATGTGTGTGACTGAAGTGGTGGCTGTACCAGAGCACGCTCACAAAATGGCGGCAGCAGCGGAGCCTGATCGCAAGAGGGATGCACCGCTGGTGTCTGCACGCACCGTTGGTATCCCCAAACCCACTCACACAAACCCTTCTGTTCATGAACTAATTCCCCTGTCTGAAGGTTTTTCCCTGATGGGGATCGCCTTTTGTTGCGTTTGGGCTGCATACACCTCCACAGAACTCCCAGAGGCGGCAGCACCCACTATCAGGTCTGCAGAGTCGGTGGCTGAAGCTACAGTCTCTCCTGAGGTGGTGGTGCTCGCTGCTGTGTTCCCCGAAGCGATGGTGCCCGCTGCAGTTTCTCCAGAGGTGGCGGCGCGTGCTGCAGAACCTTCCGAAGCGGCGGTGCTCGCTTCAGCTCCTTGCGTGGTGGTGGCGCCTAGAAAAGCACATTCGACCTGTCATGTCAGGGTCGTAAAAACCTTTGCCGAACTCTCCCTGTATCCTGGGGGCTCTACTGTAGAACCTCCAGAGGTGGCGGCATCCGCTGCAGAACCTCCAGAGGTGTCAGTAGTACCCACCTGTGAACTCTCTGCCTGTCCTGTTCCGGCCAAGGAGGCCATC